TAGCTGATAAATGCTCGAAGATAATTCAACACGTCCTGATTCATTATTTCTGTACTACCATCGGTCTGCGGATGGTAAGCGGTGGACAATTTTTGTTTTATACCAGTCACTTTACACAAATAAGTCCAGAAATAACCCACCCAATTTGCTCTTCTCTCTGATGTTATAAACTTGGGAAACCCACAAAAACGATAATGACTATTTAGGAAGCGTTCTGCGCAAGCTTCAGCTTCCATTGAGTTCACTGCTTCAAGGGTGCAACTTTTGAGTAAATAGTCAGTAATAACCATTAGATATTTGGGATCTTTATCAATTTTGCAGGCAACTCTGTCATGAAATCTACCGATAGCTCACTGTGGAAGCGTTCAAGCACTGAGAGAGGTCTAAGTAGTCCTTGTGGACTTTGTCGCCACGCTTTAGACTGACTACAGATTGAGCAGTTCCGTGTGAATCTGCGAATGTCTAAATATTGTTGGGGCCAGAAAAATGTTCGCAACAGTATGTGTAGGGTACCGTCTCTTCCAGGATGTCAAGAGATGTTTGAGTCATGGGAGCGTTGTATTAATTGAGTTTTTAGTGGTTCCCAATTTGGGACCCACAGCGCTCCTCGTCGTGTTAACTCACCTCTATCATCTAAGCTACAATCCGTCATTTGAACCCCAAACTTAAGATCTATTGGCAAAGCAGGCTGGTCTGCAGCGACTGAGGCATGAATACCGTGAAAGGTTTGGTCTTTTTCCAGCGCTTCGTCCCACAGCGAGGCGATTTCCTTATCTTCAAATAGATTTTGGCCCGCGGTTATGATGTTTTCTGTGTCTTCAATTTGTTTCAAGGTCATATCAGGCAAATTTACCATATTTATAGTGTTGAAGATGAATTATTGTGGCGAAGAGATGCCTATGTTATTCTTGAATAACTGAGTATTGCGGCCTTGTAGCCGCTCGTCTGATGTATGCTGTGGAGCTTCTTGTGCTCGCCGCAACAGAAAATCAGGTTTTGTGGACTGAGACCCGGGCCGAAATACGATTTTGAAATTAAATCTTGCTAATGTCTCTGCCCACCTGACTTGACGCTCGCTAAGTTGTCTTGAAGTTGTGAAATATTGTAAATTCTGGTGGTCTGAAATCACAGTGAAAGAATTTTCGACGCTTCGAAGCTTGTTGTGGTTATGAGCTGTGAGGTTTATGGCAATTATGACTCTGCTATCCGTCGGTGGAGTGGCACGGGCTCATGTGCAATGGTGACTCGTGGAGATGGCGCGCTCACCCTGGGTACGTATGACTGTGACCAAATGGGTGTCAGTAGGTATCAAATGTGAACTCTTACTAACAATGGTTATCTATGAAGGTGATGCTAGATGTGCATCCTGACAATTGATAATATCATCTAATGGATGATGTAAAGTATGATATTATTCTGATAGATTTATTCACTAAACTCGGTAGGTGAAGAGATTGTAGAGTACATGAACAGCGTCTGTGCACCAGCCTGTATTTTCCACCCTTTCCTAATCCAGCAGCCCATCCTCAGTTTCTCTGTCTCCTAACGACTCAACCGAGCCAGCACAACAAAGCTCACAATCAAAATGACGCATTGTTATTATAATAGCGAGTAATTCTTTCTCGTAAATGTTATAGTTTGCTTATGCTGGCGTCAATTTACGTGAAAAGTAACCTACCGGTCTTAATCAATTCTTTTCGTCAATTTGAGAAAGAACTCCACCAATGGCATACCTAGAAGCGTCTGCTTCTAAATAAGTCTCTCTATCGGCTGAAAAAAGCGCCAATAGAGGAGCTGAGGACAATATGGTAAGCTTTTCAATACCTCCTTTTGCTCCACACCCTAGCTCCAACAGGCATGCTTGGATGTGAGACTGATCAAAGGTTGAGCAATGGCTGAAAACTTTGGTATAAACTCTCGGTAGAAATTTGCGAATCCAAGAAAAGATCGGGTTTCAGATACTGTAGTTGGCTCTTCCCAGTTTTTGATAGCTTCCACTTTATCCGGATCAACTGTAACACCCTCACCAGCCTTAATCACGAAACCAAGATATTTGACTTCGGAAGTAGCAAAGGCACATTTATTGATATCTAAACGTAAGCCGGCTTTTTCGAGTCGACTTATGACCTCTTCAACTTTTTCGTAATGGTCGGATAAATCACCATCAGAGTATATGATATTATCATCCATATAGGCTGAGCAGTATTCATCTAAAATATCTTGTAATCCTGCATTAATGTACCGTTGAAAAGTGGCTGGCCCACCGCTGTGTCCAAATGGCATGATAAGCCATTCGTATTGCCAATAACTTGTCCGGAACGCTGTCTTCCATTCATCTACAGGTCGAATACGCAGGCAATTAAATGCAGTACAAACGTCAAGTTTAGTAAAGTATTGAGCTTTGGAGACTTTTTGAAGTGTTTCCTTAATTGGTGGTAACGGGTACCCATCCCTTTTTGTGATTGAATTGAGGCCACGATAGTCAACAAAGAATCGAAGCCTTCCACAGAGTTTTTTTGCGAATAGAACTGGTGAATTTGCTGGAGAGCTGCTGGCACGAATTCATCCTTTTCGTAGGTAATCTGTAAGGGTTTTCCGGAGTACAAGCAACTCGTCTCGTGACATACTGTAAAGTGGACTTGAGGGAGGTCCCTTGAGATTACCTTCATTATCTAAGTTGAGGTTTATGGAATGGTCCCATCCCGGTTTAGATTCTGGTAAGATCCCATCTTCATCAGCTAGAAAGTTCTTTGTCGGGTGTTGAAGCTGAAGAGGCAGTTTGCTTGACAATTCTTCCGCAGATTGCTAATTTATCTAATTTTTCTAGAGCCTTTTTGATATCTGCTATGGTGATTAAGAACAAATATAGATTTTTATTTGTTTTTCTTCCTCGTCGGATTTCTGCGGAAAATATTGAAGCTTTGACGTTTTTTGCCTGGCATATCTGACAAATATGACTCGATAAATCTACTCTTTCCATCCATCCAGACTCCCTAACTTTTATTGCATTTCCCCCAATTCTTAGGATAAGAAACTTCTTTCCTGCTTCATAGGTCACGTTATTTCGCTCGGCCCAACCTTTGCCGAGGATTATGTTATATTGTAAGATTTCAACAATGTAACCAAAAACTCTCTCAACTCTGCCATCAATGTCAAGTGTAGCCCAAGTCATCTCCATGATAAGAGTTTGGGGTCCATCTTTAGCAAGCTTAGGTGATCTATGAGTAACTGGGTGGCGCGGTAAGTGCGTTTGTTATGCGAATCTTTGATCAAATACTGCATAGAGTAGACATCCTGTATCAAATAATGCGGTAGAATAATAAGTAGAATTTATTAAAACATCAATTAAAAATGAACTACTGTTTAATATTTCTATAGCATCACTAATTTCTCTAGCAGGTGGTACTTGATCTAAGAGTTCTCCAAACATACCAACGTTCCCCTGAACACGAATTTGCTCAGGGGCTACTAGTTTCCCGGCTCGCTTGATGATACATTAGCTATCCTTGAGTTGGCTGTATCTGTGTGAAAGCCTTTAAACTTGCATTCCCTAAAACGGTGAGATGGATGAATGTTGCACCGAATGCAGCGGCCTGATTTAAGACGCTGGCTACGCTCTTCTTCGGAACAGTGGGGGGGATTTAGACGTTTTTCTAATGGCCGGGGCTGTCCTTGTTTTTGAAAGTTGTTTTCATTATTCAAGGCTGATATAACTGTAGTGACAATAGAAAAGGTATCAGTTCCCGACATTTTAACATCTCCCTCTAAATCACGTAAAGAAGAGTTGTGCGTTTGTGGTCTAACAAACTGAGGCTGAGCGGTGTTTGAGTTGGTTTGCAATCTGTTTACGCACTTGTTCCTAGATACTTAACGGAAATTCTCCAATCGCATTTTGAGTAAAGGTTTATACTTTTTCATCCATACTTAAATATTGAAATTTGGGTAAGGACTCCCAGTTTGTTGCCAGAATTGATAATTGCTTGACGTACTTTTAACAGTCAAGCTTTTCCAGGTTTATCTGATGAGCGGCAGCCCGGCTTAGATATGGAGCTATCGATTCAGATAACGTGTGAATTCTAGATACTCGAATAGGAGCAAGATCACCTGATTTGCTGAGATAGCCTTCGAAATTGTGTAAGAATTTCGCGAAAGGTTGTGCTTTTCCTTGCCTCACAGAGTATAGTAGGCGTCGATTCCGAGCTTCTTGGTCCCTGTCGACAAAATGTCGGTCAAATTCGTCGAGAAGTGAGGTTGAGTAAAATTCTTTTGCTTTTATTTGTTTCTCGAAGAAAGGTCCCACTCTACTTCTATGTTCCGCTGGTAGGGTCTGCATGAGCGCTAGGCAGGCGCCTCTTTCACCACCGAAGCCCATTACTACTGCCGGATCCTCCGCTGCTACTCGCCAAATAGCTGAGCATAAAGAATATTGATCAGGCGTTCCATCCCAAGGCGTAAATTTATACTGGACAGCATTGATTTGAGTGGCCATTATGACTATAATTATTGGTATTGTGTATAACTGTCCGGATAATAAATTCAGGCTTCCATGGCGCTGGGTCTTAAAGAGATCTAAGATTATTCTCAGGGTTAAATGTGTCGTCGAAGCTCCCGTAATTGCGAGGCGTCGCTGATTACAGGTAGTTTAGACTTGAATGGAGATTACAACCAATGTGATAGCATAGGGTTCAGGGAAGGCTCTGGCTAAAAGCAAAACAACAATATGATTGTAATATATAGAGAGAGAAGGACAGGTCGGCTCACTAAACAATGCATATACATAAAAGTGAATCAATATTAGTCCTAGCGTCCATATATCACGTGACTAGTGTCCTACGACACCTATGTTGTTAAGAAGTGCTATCAGTCTATACGCTTTTGGAAGGGGCCCTACGTGTAGCAAAGTGGCTTTCTATTTCAGAGTTTTACATAAAGACCTGCCCTAGAAGCCCCAGAGAAGAAATAAATAGGTCTTCAACTCTGCCCCAACTCTGAGCCTTGCATTATGGATGGATGGTGCGGTATTTATGAATGGATCTATTAGTAGTATCTCGAGAGTGGTTGTTATACATCAAATGAGTAAAGAGCCTCGGGGACTGGCTGAAAAGTGCAGGTGCAATGCTACACGCAATCATGTAATTAGAGAATTGCCCTGCAAACCTAGTTAGGAAGTAGCAAGGGCGAAGCCACCAGGGCAGTAAGCACTGGCATCCCGACGGACGAAAAATAGAAAATAAACAAACAAACAATATACGCTTTGAGTGTCGTTGTTTGGTTTCTGAGGCTTTCTCAAGACTATAGTGGTAGAGTCCTTGGGCTCTCTTGGATGGTATTGTATTGGGAGACAGGCATTGAACAAGACCGTAAGTGCTTTGCTCAGAGTCTTCCTACACTGCTTTAAAATTCGATTTGGTATTCCGTCCGGTCCTGGGGCTTTATCATTGGGTAGTCAACCTATTACTTCGTCGCTCTTCTTAGCCTATCTAGCCAGTTTCCATATTTTGATCGGGTCTTCTGTTATCTCTGAAACGAGAGCTCTCTAGCCTAGGGTTTTGCCCTTATTTATCTGTATTTTCTTCTGGTTTGTGGCTTCTAGGTATCCAATCCAGCTCTCCTCGTTGCAGTCTCGGGTCTATTTTCTTCTCGCCTTCCTTGCAATTTCACTGCAGCTGAGCATTCCTTATTCCGGTACGGCATTGCATATCAAGGTTTCGATTTGGGTACCATTTCTTCGGTCATTTGTTGAATTGCTCTAGTAATAACCATAACTCTCTTATCAATTGCTTGCTTGGAGCCTTACTGGCTACTTTCTAGCTTCTATTCCAGAATTGCGTCGAGTCGATCGTTGAATGCTTGCCAATTTACCTTCTTCCACTGTGGATAGGCTGTCTGTTCAATTTGGGCACTTGGCTGTATTTGGAGTTCGATACGTATGGGTATATGATCAGAGGATGCTTCAAGCTCGTTGGCTGGTTGACACATTGTGACGGTCTCTTCAAGTTACTTAGAGACAAACGTCAGATTAATAGTGCTTTGGCTTCCTCTGCTCTTCCAAGTGACGGTTCTTGTGGTAGTATAAATTCCATGTTCAGGTCTTGGGGCATTTCAATAAGACTTTCTGAACCTTTATAGTGTGACATGGTTGCTTAGCCTCCCCACTTTGGGTGGTGTACGTTGAAGTATCCAACCAATATTTGAAGGCGATCCTGTGTTAGTACTTGGGATACCCATAGCAGCGTTCCTGGTTCTGTGCTACCATGAGATTTGGGCGAAGGATTATAGCAATTATGAACCCTCACTTTTCCCTGTTCGGTCTGGAGGCTGGTCGAAGTTATGTCTCCATCGACTTCTTCAGGTACATTTTCGACTCTCCATTTATCTGTAGCTAGCCGCTTGCTGACGTATGTGCAAATTCGGCTGTTCGGTTTGTTTGAGGAAACCAAATGGTACTCGGGGTGCTTTCAGGTAAGATTGTTCAACGGGTTTTGCCAAGGTTCTTGGACCGCTACTATATGGTGTTCCTCGGAATTCAGCTCTTGAAGGAAGTGATGATGTACTTTGTTTTTACTTTTGTTGACATTATACTGTATGATATTCCACGTCTTTGTGCCTTTCATTGTGTCATATAACATAGCGGTGCATCGCTTCCCTCTGCTTGGTCCTCCCGTGTCACAGTCCGGGAATTAGTCTGAGTGTTTGAAAACATCAGATCCGTCTTTGTTGGCATCTTAGCCCATGTTGCTGGCAAATCGCCAGAAGTTGGAGATTTTCGCGGTATTTAAAGGTCTCGTCGAACGATAACTTCACCGTTTGCTCCAATGAGCTGGGGACCTGCAGTACCGGCTCGTCTTTTCCCAGATCCAACGATCTGCTATTCGGCCTCTGCTTCCCTCATTGGTAATTTAGGGCGTTTATATGTGTTGTGAAAATCATGAATCTGATCCAGAAGAGTCAGCTCACGGCGGATGCATGGTGACCGACAAGTCCCATACCTGGGATGCCCTACCACCACGCAACAACAAGCGAAGTAACGGAGTTAAGGAGCCATCGTCAAGGAGTGCCTCGTGTCAGAAGTATCATGTCTTGAGTATTCATCTTTACTCGATTGATACATGGTCAGTGGGTGATGCAGCTGAGTCAAGGAATTCCCTGTCAAAGTTAGAGAAAGGCTGGTGTGGTCATGTAGAGTGAGGACAAGCGAGGGAGACATGTATATAACAGAGTAACATCTCTACAAGTAGATATTATCAATCAACAATTCTAATCTCTCGTCTACTACAGTCTCGACTCACCTACAGATAGACCCCAACAGCTCACCAACTTGCACACCAGCTTGATCAACCAATAGTACAGGTATATCTCTATCCACTCATAACCCAGTTTCATAATAATATGTTCCCGGACCCTGCGTCTGATTCTGAATTGCTTTTGCTTTGGCCGCAATCCTAACAGGGCAGCTTTGATTCTATGCTTCGTGACATCTACTGCAGTTACTGCATCTCGCCTCTTGTTTTCCAGTACACACTCCCTTGTTTTGTGCTTTTGCACATTGACCGCACTTGGCTTCTGCAGTGCAGACTTTGGCTATGTGTCCGTACTTCTGGCAGTTGAAGCATTGCATGGCGCGGAATCCAGACCGGAAGAGCTCTGCCGGTTTGACTTCGTAACGTCACATTACTCCCTTCGTGATCGCTCTATCTGCAGATTTCGCTTCATCGAACCACAGTATCAATGATCCCGATGATTTTCCCTGGATGGATGATCTCTTTAGCCATGCAGTCTTTTGTATTCTGATGCCTTGTAGGTATAAGGCATTTGCTTGTCGGAGTAATTTTATTTGATCATGAATTTCTGGCTCAAATGATAACGGTATGTCGTGAACTAGGACTTGCTACATGTGCTGTAGTTGCAAGCTTTGTGGCCCACTCCTTTTGTTTCTCGACCATCTCCTTCGATTCTTGACCTGGGAAAAAAACTTTTACCTGTCCGTTAGACATCTGCTTCGCTGCTATAACTTCATTTATACCCATATTCTTTACCAGCTCTTCGTTCGAGAGTCTAGCAATTGCCTTCTTTTCTTTTTCATCGTGAATTCTTATGGTGGTGCTGGTAACTTCGGCTTTTCAAGCTACTTGTGCCCAGGAATGTCCTTGTGTAGAAGCTGGAGCTTTTGTCAGTGAAATTCAAGCTTTAATAGTTTGGATTTCCTGTGAGTCCTTAGCTATTGTTGGACTCTCGTCACTAGCTTTATGGGTTGGCTGAGCTTTCGCGTCACGAAGTCCTTGGATAACGCGTATTGCCTCATAAATTATCTTCTTGTATTCTCTGTTTGAGAGCTCATCTCCTTCAACAGCGTTCTTGGACCTCTGTAAGGCTGTGCCAGTACCTTGGGCATTTTTTGACGCGTCGTTTCCGGATTTCGGGGCCGTATAGAACTTTCTACTATGATAATCCTTGATAGAATTACTCTCCACCACTGTTAGGATAAGACTAAAACTTCACGGATTAAAATCGATGGGGGCAGATTTTTGGTAATAACTATCGTAAATAAGTTAATTGAGCAAGATGAACTTTTTTTTGCCAGGCATTCATTCTCCAAATACGTGTGATAGAGTTACAATTTATGGGTAAGTAAAGTTTGATATCTGATAAAATTTTGGCAAGGTTCAAATAAAATATGGAAACTTCAAGTTTTTTTCATGAAATCCATCAAATCAAAACCAACTGATTTAGGTTTTGCATCTTTTCTTTCTGCCAAAAGCGCTTCAAGCGTATTTTTCTTAGATTTTCTACGCCTTTTGGAACTTAGAGACTGTGTCCCGTGGGTAGAGAGCTGGCCTATTATATTTTGGTTTTCGGTGCTCGCGCTCATATTAGCACAAGAAAATTTGCCTACATTAGACTGAAATTTTATTTTGGGCCTATTTCGTAGCGTCTCTCGTGTTTTGCCATGACAGGCTTTGCATTCGTAAACTAGGGTTTTGGAATTTTCTCCCGCTTTTTTTTGGTGTCTCTTTTTACTATTAGCTTTTTTGCCCATTTGGTTTATATTCGTAGACTCAAGCGAAATTGTTCCCCCCCATCCAAGTATTATAATTGCGCCACAAGCATTGCAAGATTTAGGAACTTGAGGGATTTTCAAGTCCTTCTCATATTTCAAAGAAAGTTTGTTACATTTATTCATGAGAAATCTAGACACCTCTGGAGCTGATAATGCGAGCAAATGTGAAGATTCCGTGAGGTATCGTAGATGAGTCGTGATATTTGAGGTATCCATTGTTTGATGAAAAATGCGCCTTGAGGATTTTTGAAGTGGTATGTATTTAATTTGTTAAGGATCTAGTTTCCAGATCTGGTTTATCGAAAATAGCTGACAACTTTAACGAAAATTAGGCTTCCCGTCGCTAAGAGAATAATTTTGTGATGTAATTGTAAAATATGGCCGTTACATAGATGAATGTTGGTACGATATTGTTACAATCAAGGCGAAAGCACTTCAGGCAATTACTTTCATGAAATAATTGCAAGGACAACAAAGACTGAACGCCCGTCCGCGGTATCCTCTCGGAACCTAGAGTGAAATATAATCTCAGTGCCAAGTTCAGTCAAATTTAGCAAATTGATGAAGTTGGTCCTCGACGCAATAATTACAGAGTGTCCGTCATATCGATCGTTCACTCCAAGCGAGATCTGTTCCAGTCAAAGCGTCATCAGGCCTGCAAGTAATACATAGTTCATGCTCTTGTCATTTGCCACACCTTTCATCGACCCATGCTCTAGTCTCAGATGGCCACTAAATATACTCCCATACCGATATTTACACCCGCCGGAGGAAATAGATCGTGGTGCAAAAATATGGGGAAAAATTCTTAGGAATTGACGGGAGAGAAATGAGGACAAGTTTACAAGATGATGCAGAGGATGGATACAGTCTTCATGAGTGTTAAATTTGGAACTTTGGCAAAGAGTTTTACGAATTGGGCTTTGTGTGCGCCAAGACTTCGCTTGCGAGTGCAGGTTACACTATAGACACAAGCCAACGATGGAAGGTGTTGTGGTCCGCCTCCTGGTGGTGTTCTCTGGTATAGTTTGAGTAGCCTGGGCACCTACTCCACTTGGGAAGGAGACATCTCAGATTACATTTCGCGCGGAGAAAAGTTGATGGATGACGGAGGCATGTCTGGGTAACTCAGGGTTTTTGAGATGTTCCCCTGGGTGGGTATTCACGGATGAGGGCTGACTTGGGGTGAAGGAAAAGCCGCCATAACTTCGCAGTGGTACCTGCAAATGAAATCTAAGGCATGAGTGCTCTTCCTTTACGTTGAATCATCTGTTCTATACTTTTCTTTGATATTGTGTCATAGCTAGATAGCTGCATACGCAATTTGAATCTGATGCAAAAAAAAATAAACATAAGGTGAAGTTAGTTTTCCAATTTCGACCAAGGAGAGTTTCAAATTGAGAATTGTGCGCTATACAGCTTCGTTTGATGGAGCGCAGGCGACAGTAAAAGCGCTGCTCTGGTTGGATGGTGTAGTAGTAGACTATCTGGGCCGCTGTCATGATGTCTGGATATCTCTGGCACCTGTCTAACTGCGTAATGACATAGATAATTCAAACCAAGCGGGCCTCCGCCACATTTCTCGCAGTGCTAGTATGAATGGATGGCAAAGGAATGCTTGGATACCCTTGGGGTTTGGAACGTCTCTGTGGGTACTCACGGAGGAGGATTGACTGTTTGTGTAGGCAAACACACCATAGAGTGGCTTTGGCAACATAAGTCCAGGTTATAATTTACTCCGACATCAAAAGAGTCATCCCACATTTATGCAAGGCGCCATTTATTTTTCATAGTTCCATAGCTGCATAGCTTTTTTTTTTTTTTTTAATCAGATTTGAATTGCGTATGCAGCTATCTAGCTATGACACAATATCAAAGGAAAGTATAGAACAGATGATTCAACGTAAAGGAAGAGCACTCATGCCTTAGATTTCATTTGCAGGTACCACTGCGAAGTTATGGCGGCTTTTTCTTCACCCCAAGTCAGCCCTCATCTGCAAATACCCACCCAGGGGAACATCCCAAAAACCCTGAGTTATCTAGACATGCCTCCATCATCTTTCAACTTTTCTCCGCGCGAAATATGGTCTTAGGCGTCTCCTTCCCAGGTGGAGTAGGTGCCCAGGCTACTCAAACTATACCAGAGAACACCACCAGGAGGCGGACCACAACACCTTCCATCGTTGGCTTGTGTTTATAGTGTTAGCTGCACTCTCGCAAGCGAAGTCTTGGCGCGCGCACAAAGCTCAATTCGTAAAACTCTTGCCAAAATTCGAAATTTAACACTCATGAAGACTGTATCCATCCTCTGCATCATCTTGTAAACTTGTCCTCATTTCTCTCCCGTCAATTCCTAAGAATTTTCCCCCCCATGTTCGTAGGCACTAATAGTACTATCTTCCCCGTTTATCCTGCTGTTCTTCGCATCTATCCCGAGATTCCGCCTATTACACTCGCGCCTATGATTTATTTCCTCGTTCTTGTATGTGTATGTATAGTATATTGTGCTGATGAAATCATAGACTATCTAGCACATTGAGCTCCTCTCTGACCCAGGCCATACGTTGTACAGTGCTCCTTGCCTCTTATTTTACTTGAAATATCATTGATATATTGCCCGTGATGAATTGCTATTCAGCTCAGTATTTACTCGTGGAATTCGGCCACCTTTTCCACGGAGCATTCTAACCAAAGAAAATAAAATGCTAGCAATGGAAACTGCGTGCGTAGAAAAAGGTCTCAAAAAACCTGTAGCTCCAGCCAGGCGAGAACTAGACACCGGGACCACATGAGGTGCGCATATTCATCTATATGTCCCTTCTTTGTAACAGTCGAGGCCGACTTTATCCAATCCACCATCTCCGTATCAGGTGCTGGGTACGCTTCGAAAACTAATTGGATGGCTATTCCTCCATGATAAAGGGTGGGTAACACCAAATTTGAATCTAGTTACATGCCTCTTTTGTTAAACTAACCCTGGCTCCAATTAAAATCCCCCCTCTCACAAACATTTCTCCATCTACACACACTATTCTAAAGCCTAAGCAGAATACATCAAGCATTGCTAAACCGCGCATAAAAGAAAACCGAGTCATACAATCGGCGCGTCTACCAATGTTGGAGCTACAGGCTCAACGCCCTCCCACGCACCCCTCCAATCACCCCAATTAAGACCTCGACGATCCTGGCCCCAGCCAAACTCCTTACGAGCATGGCATCACTCTAGAATATGACGAGCTCCCAGACGAACCCATAGATGACCCTTTTGACGCGCCCAACCCATCTGGATCTTTCAGAGAGGCACTGGGAAGAAGTGTTGCTGCTGCAGAAAGCCGAGCGAAGGAAGCTGAATCATTATTTGGTAGTATCGCCTCCCAATTGGACAATCATTGGGTCGCACCAAGTCACAACTCACTCCCTGCTAATCAACGTTTGGCCCTCAAAAACTTCTGCAAAGATCTTGCTGAGGTTGCTACCCGTCACTTTGATGCCTACATAAGCGGAAAACTGGTATCAAAAATTGAACCAATTCCTGAGCCTTGCCGAACTCCGCAAGCGCTGGAGACTTTAACATACGCCAAGGTGGCTCGCCGACCCCAGGGCATCCACACCGAAAATTTACATAGTAGCAGAGAGCCACCACGTCCTAGCCCAAAAACACAACCGCAACAACGTCGCACTGACGATCGTCTGTTCGTCCGCATACCTGATGGAGATAGGCTCAGGGGTCTCTCAGCGTACGCTATCCAGTCTCACCTGAAAGCTAAGCTAGGAAATGACGAGCGAGTTCTAGTTAACGTGCAGTCTACAAAGACCGGCTTCGCCCTCTGCCCTAAATATGGAGAAACCTCTAAACTTAAGGAAGAAATCTGGAAGGTGAATATTTTTGATAATGTTGCAGTCGAAAGTGCGTCACTGTGGACTTCATATAGGATTAACAATGTCCCACGAACGTTCGGAACCATCAACGACGAACTCAGATACTGCCTTCAACCAGTCACTGCCGCTGCTATGTACGAAGCTCTCCCAGCTGCCGCGGGAACAGCCCCGGTAGCCATCCTTGCGTCGCGCGATAATGAGAAGAACCCAGACTCCTCTTCAACAACATGGATTGTTCGCTTTCCAGAAACTCACCAACGTCTTCCTCGTGTTCTCTTCCTGTTTGGTTGCCATACAATCACAAAAACTTTCCCTCGGCGCTACACAGCTGCTCAGTGCAGTAGATGCTGGCTATGGCATAATACCCAAACTTGTGCGTCCTCCTTCCGGTGCCGCCTATGTGGCTCGGGAACCCATACTGAAAACGAGCATGGTAACCACTGCGCAGCCACAGGTGAGCACACCTGTCCAACTAGATACGTTTACTGCCACGGCCCTCATGCCGCTGACGATGCAAGGTGCGAGCTCAAGCCTAAAGCTACAGGACCACCTTTGACCAAAGCTCAGGTGAGTGCGGTCCGAAAAGTCAATGCAGATGCCCGTATGCGCAGACAAGCAGAAGCGGGCTGTGCGAAGCCCCTTCCCCAAGCCAACTCAGCAGCGCGTAGCGACAAGCTGTCATCATCTCAACACCTCAGCCCTGCCGGACCAAGGACAGCACAGGATACACAAGAAATTGTTACCAAGAACCCTTTCGATGCTGTCAGGATTGCCTTCTGTATAATCTATATATGTGGAGATAAACAGAATCTAGTGTTCTATGATTCTGGTCTGGAATTTTGGTCGAGCAGTTATGCACCTATCTTATGCATAATGTAGGATGGCACCCTTTAGCCTGAATACCACCTCTGAGACCCATGTCTCCTTCTTGCTGTCTACATACTGCTTCTGACAGATGTCCTTTACGTCGAAGAGGATCAGAGCAATGACAAAATGGAAGCATAATGGACGGCTACAAGTCTCACAAGGCTTCGTCCAAGCCATTAACGGTCTTTTCTTTGAACGTCGGCAGAGGTGCTCTTTCACATGAGATCGCCCTCAACGAAGCTTTTACTATACTAGCAGATATTATCTTGATTCAGGAACCTTACATTTTTCGTGATCGCGCCCGACGGATTACAAAGTACCATCCATCATATGAGACTTTCCCTCCGATTGATGACTGGTCAATCACTAGGCCTATAGTGACTTCATACATGCGCAAAGGGGTTGGACTACGTGCAGACCAAATATATAAATCTCTCCGGCGACAAACTCACTCTCCGTCTGAAATCACC